CTTCTCCCTCTCCCACTCCCCCTGCTTGTGTTCCCTCTCTTGCTGTGTCTCTGTCAAATAAATAAATAAAATCTTAAAAAAAAAAAAAAAAAAGAAAACAGTAGACAGTGATGTAAATAGAGCAAACCATGTTTGGGCCATACAGGAACAGGTGTTTGGTTCAGGCAGGGAGCTCCTGTAGGAGTGTGGTAGGAGAGAAAGCTGGGAAGTTAAAACTAAATTCTGGAAAAGCTTGAATTCCAGCCCAGGAAGTTTAAATTTCAACAGTTATCAGGTCCCCGTTCTTACCGTAGCTGGTGAAGTCAGTGTTTTAGGAGGATCAGTATAGGGGTTTTATATAGGATGGCAAGAAGCAGAAGTTCTGGAAGCAGGTGAAGAAGGAAGGAGGTGGGGTGGGGCAGGGGTAAGAAAGGGAGAGGTTTAAAAAGACATTGAGAAGGAAGGGACCCTGGGTTGCTGGAAGTGGGTGAGAAGGAAGGAGTCAGCAATGGGGGTTCAAATCCGGATGCCTGGGCGTGGGGGCAGAGCGAGCTTTTGAATGATGGCACCATTTATAGAAATGGGGAAGTCAGGAAAGAGAAGTAATGAGTTTGTTTTTAAACTCATTTATATATCAAATTATATAATTACACTCGAAGTTTTTGCTCTGGTTATTTCGCACAAGTTGCATCAGAAGAACATAAGCTCCCCAAGGGTAGGCTCTGAGTCTTGGACTCTATGTGGTCCCGCCATGGCCTAGCATGCTGTGTACTTTGTTTTTAGTTATATTATTGATTGAGTAGTATCGTACAGTATAGTTCACCTGTGTACTTAATTTTCTGTGGGTGCTTAACAAAGACTTGGTGATAAAGTCTCTCTTAATTCAAGACCCTAGCACCGAAGGCTGACTCTTGATTTCTTTTTTTTTTTTAAAGATTTTATTTATTTATTTGATAGAGAGAGACACAGCGAGAGAGGAAACACAAGCTGGGAGAGTGGGAGAGGGAGAAGCAGGCTTCCCGCGGAGCAGAGAGCCCGATGTGGGGCTCGATCCCAGAACCCTGGGATCGTGACCTGAGCCAAAGGCAGACGCTTAACGACTGAGCCACCCAGGCGCCCCTTGATTTCTTTTCCATCCTGTGTTCTTGCCTCTGCTCATCTCTAAGTCATGTGATACATAGAATCTGTCGTCTGTGAAATGTCTGAGCCGTGTTGGGATTGGGTAGCCAGTGCTGCCCCTACTGGAAGCATCCCTACTTGACCTTTTGAGGCCCCACCACAGTCAAAACTAATGATGGAACTAAGCTGAAAATGAGAGGAGGGAATCTAGAGGCACAGACACATAAGAGGATGAGGCTTTCAGGAGAGACCTGAAAATAGAAACCTTGAGTCAGAGTAGAGCCCAGAGCCAGATCTAGAAGGTGGGGCTTACAGGGGAGGCTATGGGTATCACCTCTGTGCCCGGTAATGGAGCATGTTGAGTGGGTGGAAGGTTGTGTGCATCTGCAGGAGGGAGGCAATGGGCAAATGGAGAGATGGAGTTACCCGGAATTATCCCCAGAACTTTCCTCCTGTTCCTAAGGGTGCTTGTGGACTGGAGAGCTGGAGGAGATGCTCAGAGCAGGGACTGGCCATTGCTGAAACCAGGCTTTTTGTGCCCATGTGTAGGCAGAGAGCTCCCTGCAGATTTGCAGTAGGAAGGTCTATCAAGATGGGACTCTAGAGAAGTTGAGCACAAGTGAGAAGGAACTGGGCATATTCCTGGGAGAAGTGCTATCGGAGTTAGGAGAGGCCTGGGGAGAGCACTTTCAGTGATTGCCCATTGCTTGTGTGTGGGGGGGGGGCAGGCGCATCCATGCTGTACGCTGAACCTTGCTTTTCCGGTTGCGTGCCGGACAGGGGAGCGTGTTACTCCTATACCACGAGGCATGTGACTTTCTCAAAATAAAAATAGCAGCAATGGGAGTGGTATGGCCCCTCAGACCATCCTATTTTTTGTATCCTTCAGCCTCTTGATGTCATGTGAGAACTTTAAGCATCTCAAATGATAGGGATTAGTAACAAAGGCGCGCTAACACCTGAGAAGATATCAGACAACTGATGGGAGAAACACGGGGCTTCTGGAAGGTGACAGCTTGTAGGTCACTGTGGCAATAAATAGCCACTCTTGTTAGAATTAATCTTGCTTCCCTTCTAGCTTGACATTTTAAAGGGCCTGCTAATTCTCTTTTCAAGATTGAGGACGGACATTTTCCTTTTCCTCCAAATATGAACCTAAACCGTCAGAGTCTTCTTGCAGTCGGAGCGGAAATACTGCAGGCCTTCCCTCTGCCTCAGGGTGGCGTCTGCTGACTTCTTGTGCCTCAGAGCCCCGTGGGGGTGGGGAGGATGCTGGGAGCCCGTGTTAGGATTTGTTCATGGAGCTAGTGATTTTTAATGTTAGGAAAAAGGAAGTTAAGAAAACAGTCACGAGAAATGAGAATTCAGGAACTTCTACAACACCCCTTGTGTGGAGGGGCTTTTTCAGGGTTCTGTTGCTCTGCTTTTGGCGCTGGGGGAAATCTGCAGGAGCATGGGTATTTAAAAAGGATATACGCCTTCAGCCTACCATTTGTCTTCTGAACCTGAAGCCCTAAATTTAGCAAACAGCTTGAGAGTGCTTTCTGGAAGAGGCAGACTCCCAAGATGTGAATCAGATATGGGAACACGTTTAACCACCCTCAGCGGGAGCCATCCTCTTCAGCACAGGCTCTGGGAATAACGGGAAAGAGGACCCACACCAAATATTAGGAGCCTTGACATTTAGCACCTGGATTTTAATCCCTCAGTGATCCTCTGAGAACTCTCCAACACTTGCCTTTGTCCTTAATTATAGGAGACCATTTAAACTTGAGGGTGCCTAATGCTTAATTCAGATTCTGTTTCTGCAATCCCATGGACAGATAGCACAATGATTGGTGCTTAGTAGGGGCACAGTAAATATTAGCTTAACTTAAAATGTGCAATTTAAAAAACATTGAAAGCAGGGGTGCCTAGGTGGCTCAGTCAGTTAAGCGACCTACTCTTGTTTATGGCTCAGGTCGTGGTCTCGGGGTTTTGGAATTGAGCCCTGCATTGGGCTCCACACTGGGCGTGGAGCCTGCTTGGGATTCTCTCACTCCGTCTCCCCCTCCTGCCCCTCCCCCCTCCTTCCCCCCTTCTCATTCTTGCTAAGAAAATAACATGTAAAGCATTAAGAAAAGTTAGGTCTTGAAAAGGCTTTTGAACGGTATGTAGGAAATAAGTTTCTTAAGTATGTATTTTTTTATCAAGTATCACCTGGCTTCAGTTTCTCTAGGAGACCCTTCTTGAGCATCCCTATTTGCTTAATAGCTTATTTTTATATAACTAGAGTTATTTATACTTATTGGTTATATTAAACATTTTTATGGGTATCCTTGAAGATTTTTATTGTTTGTCTTTATAATTATTTGTCCTATTGACTGTGGTCTACTCTAAGCTTCACAAGGCTGAGAATTTGTTTTTTTTCATTTGTGACTTTCAAAATACTAGACTGACCTGTTGAGAGTTCTCTATCAGAGAAGAAATTTGGAAACAAACTTAGCTTCACATCAGTGCCTAAAAATTATTGGAAAACCTTCCATTATGTCCTCCTTTCTCTTTATAACAATCGTCCTCCACTTTGCTCTGTCCCCAGATAAGGCCACCAATCCTTCCAACCGCCAGGAGGACTGGGAATACATAATTGGCTTCTGTGATCAGATCAACAAAGAGCTTGAAGGGTGAGTCTCAAAGCCACTGGGGGGCAAGCGGGAGAGAGCTGAGCAGAGAAGTCCAAACTGGCCAAGGAGGGCCAGCCACGTAGCCCCAGGGTCGTGCCTGAACGCATGGTCTGCTTGTCCCCCAGGCCACAGATCGCTGTCCGATTGCTGGCCCACAAGATCCAGTCTCCGCAGGAATGGGAGGCGGTCCAGGCCCTGACGGTAGGTTGTTTTACTCTGACCGGCAAATTTTAATGAGCCCAGGCCTTTCCTCATGTGCCCACTGGGTTCTCTGAGGTTTTCAGGGCCCACGTCCTATGGCAGCTGAAAGTCCTTTGATACTAGAAATGTCCGGAACGTGTTCGATAAACTGCCCCACAAATGTGTGTGCCCTTGTGCAAGGCACTGAGGCTGCAGAGAGGCCCAGAGTGCAGTCCCCGCCGGTCCGGTGGGAGAGGCCGAGTGGCTGAGTGAGGGAGCCGGAGGCCAGGGCCCTGAGCCCAGGGTGGAGCTCTGCGGCAGCTTCTTGAAGAGATGCTGACAGAGCTGTCTTGCTGGTTAAGAGTTGGCCAACTAAAGAAAAGTGTGGCTAGTCTAATTTGTTCTGTAGCTAAAAGTAATCCTAGTTCCTATTCAAGGCATCACACCGACCGGCGGATCTTAGTGTTTATTCAGACTGAGAGGATTCAGAGCGCAGACGCTTCCAGAGGACTCCTAGGGTTCTCCCCTGACTTCAGCCGGGTCATGGGAAGGGCGCTCAGGTGGGCCACATGCATGCCTCTGTCGTGTTCACTGCAGAGCGAAGGCCTTAAAACAGTGGTTCTCAGCCGGGGGGTGGTTTTGCTCCCCAGGGGACATTTGGCAGTGTCTAGAGACACTTTCGTGTGTCACGTCGTGGGGTTCTACTGGCATCTAGCGGGTAGAGGCCAGGGATGTTGCTAGACATCTTCTAATGCACAGGACAGGCTTCCACAACAAGGAATGAGTGGCCTGGGATGTCAGTAGGGCGCGGTTGAAAAACCCAGCTTGACAAGAGTTGGAAGCCAAGGAAGGGAACACGGGGGTGGAGTGCTCCTCCACGTAAACCCCAGGCACCAGGGTCATGGGCAGCACAGAAAACTTAAGGCAGTTTGGTGTGCCCCAGAAGGAGCAGGAGGGAGGGAAAAGATCCTGTCATCAAAAATGAAAACCGTTTAAACATCATCTCCCATCTCCCCACAATGTGGATCAGCGGGTAGAAAGAGCCCAGGACCCCAAGTCAGAGAAACTTTGTACTTCTGAGGGCAGAGTGTTGCAGGCAGGCACCTTCTGGGACAGACACGCACTGTCTTGGTATCTGGGTCTCAGTATTTCTTATTTTGGTTCCTGTTCAGCTTCCCCGGGAGAGGTTTGCAATTCAAGGGACAGGAGGTGTCAGTAATCCTGTTGCCCCGACGTTCCCAGGGGCCGCGCACAGCGCTTCCTTCGCAGTTCCTTCCTTGGGTGAATCGTCCCCGTGACCTGTGTGCAGGCTCCTGGCTGAGCGCCAGCTCCGACCCAGACCACCCACACTGAGCGCCCCCCTTCATGTGGCTGCAGGTGCTGGAGGCGTGCATGAAGAACTGTGGGAGGAGGTTTCATAATGAAGTGGGAAAGTTCCGGTTTTTGAATGAATTAATCAAAGTCGTCTCTCCGAAGGTCAGTCGGGCAGTCTCCTCATTCTAGGAGCTCCTTTGCGTTCCTCCCCCTCTCCCATGTTACTGGCTTCACGGTGCAACCAGTGTCTTTGGAGAGCTGTCTGTCCTGTCCTTGGGGACTAGGCCCTGGGGGCAGCAGGGGCCAGAGGCCACAGGGACAGGCAGCCCTCTGACGGACTCCTGGCTTGAGTGTGAGAGGTGATGCGGCGCGGGCGGGCGCGGCGCTGGGGGTGGGCCTCCTGGGGACAGCCGTCACTGAGGTCTGGCTCACATGGGCCTAAGGAGTTAGGCTCAGCTGCTCAGCCTCTGTGGCACGCTGGTGTGGCTTTTAAGCTCTGGGTGCCACTTAAAGCCCAGGGAACCATTTTTCGTACCTAAGACATTCTCATTCATTCGTTTGAGGTAAGATGCCATTGTTTCTGGGAGACGGCACGCGGAAACGCGGTGGCGGGCTCCCAGCTCCCTGCCTGACCACAGGCTGTACCCCTGAGAGAGCTTTGCCGCGGGTGGTTTCCTCCCCTCCCTGCGCCGTGTCCCACACACCTAGCACCTGCTGGTCTGGGCTAGGCTTGAAGACTGGGGCTAACTAGCAACTTTCCACTGCTGTGAAGAGAACGTTCCCACGGTCTCTGCCCCCGGACGGCAGTTACGAGGTTTTCCCATTTCCTTTTGCCTCTTAGTATCTGGGGGACAGGGTGTCTGAGAAAGTGAAGACCAAGGTTATCGAGCTGCTTTACAGCTGGACATTGGCCCTGCCAGAAGAAACCAAGATCAAGGATGCTTACCACATGTTGAAGAGACAGGGTATGTGCTGACCTTCCCTCCTCAAATCAGCCCCAAAGGCTGGCGAAGGCCAGGAAGAGTGGGGGGGGGTGTGCCGTCCCTTCCTTCCTCCTGAGGATGGGACGGGCTCAGCTGCGGTTTGACGGGCTGACCCCTTGCAGGCCCTCATCCCAGGGCTGGGCCCCGCCTTGCTGTGTGACAAGGGGCATCGAGGTGACCCCAGCGTGAGCCAACGCTCTGCCCCCTTGTGTTCCCTGTCAGGCATCGTGCAGTCCGACCCACTGGTCCCTGTGGACAGGACACTGATCCCCTCTCCGCCACCTCGTCCCAAGAATCCCGTTTTTGACGATGAGGAGAAATCTAAGGTAAAGCACAGCCCAGCCGATGGCGTCCTCAGATGAGGTGGTGGCTCGCTCAGTGCTGCAGGTGCTCCGGGTCCTCTGTGGTCTCCCCAGGTGGGGTGCTACCTTTCCCTTTACCTTTTGTACCTCCTCTTCCAGCTTTTAGCCAAGTTGTTGAAAAGCAAAAACCCGGATGATCTACAAGAGGCCAACAAGCTCATCAAGTCCATGGTGAAGGAAGTAAGGGGGCCCAGGGCCTGGGGGCGGAGGAACCCATGACCACAGAGCCAGAATCCCTTCCCCTGGTGTGAGGCCAGAGAGCGGGAGGCACACTGGAGCTTCCGGGGCGGGGGGGAGAATGGATTAGAGGAGCAAGCATGGACGGGGCCAGCTGAGGCGTGGGGGCAGGCCATTATTTTAAAAGAAAAACTAGATTGGGACTCTTGAGGCCTTACGGTTCCCAAGAACCACACATTAAAAGGAGCTTCCACCGGGACTAGTGTCTGCTCATGTCCTCTGGTGCGATCCTTGCTGTGGGGAGTTCGGGGGCAGTGGGATGAGTCTAGTTAAGCTTTTTCTCCTTGATCGTCTTTGATCTAGGATGAGGCGCGGATCCAGAAGGTGACCAAGCGTCTGCACACTTTAGAGGAGGTTAATAACAACGTAAAGCTGCTCAATGAGATGCTGCTTCATTACAGCAAAGAGGGTTCTTCGGAGGCAGATAAAGAGCTCATGAAGGTAGGCGCGTCCCCAGGAGAGCTGGGCTCCAGGAAGGGAGGCAGCCTTTGCTCAGTACCTGTCCTGAGAGCCAACTCGCCACACATCTGCTGCTCCTTATTAGTCAGCATAGTGACCAGGTCTGGGGGTGGTACCCCCACTTTACCTGTGCTATGGCTTACCCACCCCGGACGGAAGAGCTGTGTGTACACCCGAGTCTGGGGGACTCTGCAGGCCCACCCTCGGGGCTCACTTCTCTCTGCCCCACCTTCTGCCTCAGGAACATTTGGGCAGAGACCTACCATGTGCCCCTGATGCTGCACCTCAGTCCTTGATCACGTAGACACTGTGAGTTCTGAGGCATGTGCTGGCCTCGGGGACAGGAAGAGACCTACTTCCCTTCGTCCCAAGCTGACGTCCTAGGTGATGCAGCACGGTGCAAGCGGCAGCAGGCAGAGGCGTGCTCGGAGCCCCGTTCCGCCAGTGGCTGTGGCGCTAGGGGAGCCCCTGACTTTCTGGACATGGACACTGAATTAGATCATTGCCAGGGGACCTTGGAGCTCTCACTTTTAGCTCTGGGACTCTTTCAGGAGCTGTTTGATCGGTGTGAGAATAAGAGGCGGACATTATTCAAACTAGCCAGTGAGACAGAGGACAATGACAATAGTTTGGGTGAGTCAAAGTAGTTGACAAGGATGACCCAGGAATTTGGATTTGGCCAGGGGGGTGGGGGGGGTGTCATGGCCAGGAGTGAGAAGTACCTCTTTCTGCTGTAGGGGACATCCTCCAGGCCAGTGACAACCTCTCCCGGGTCATCAACTCTTACAAAACAATTGTTGAAGGACAGGTTATCAACGGTGAAGTAGCCACATCAGCCATGCCAGACGCTGAAGGTAAAATGTTCTAGTTCCCCATTTTGGACCCATCCAGACCAGCCCCAGGCCCCACCACCCAGCCACGAGTGCTTGACCTGCATGTCATCCCACGGGGCCCGAGGGGATTCTAAGCCCTTCCGAGTGCTCCTCCAGCTTCCCAGGGACCAGGAGCTATGGATAGGGTTTTCTTTGCTTGCTTTTCTTCAGTGTTAGGCTGGAGGCTGTACTCAGGGTTCTGCTTCCTGCTGTGCAGCCACTAGAGTGGCCCCTAATCATTCGTGTCCCCTTCCATTCGCCCATCCAGGAAACCTCTCTAGGAACCAAGGCACTCTCATCGACCTTGCTGAGTTGGACACACCAAGCAGCTCATCCTCGGTGTTGGCCCCAGCCCCTGCCCCACCGTCCTCTGGCATCCCTATTCTCCCCCCACCCCCCCAGACCTCAGGACCTGGACGCAGCCGCTCATCCAGCCAGGCTGAGGCCCCCCCGGGACCCAGCAGCACAAGCAACGCTGTCTGCCTGCTGGACGAGGAGCTGCTCTGCTTGGGTGCGTCCTGGAGGGAGGCGGTGAAGGGCTTCTCCTGGTAGGGCCGGCAAAGCAGAAGGGCGCGTGGAATGGGGAAGAGGGCCCTGGGGTGCCCCATGTACTTAGCAGGGGTGGGAAAGGGGACTTCAGATATAAGGAGAGTCAAGTTCAGTGCCCTCAGGCCCCCAGGGCAGTGTGCACACAAGCTCCAGAATGGACAGGGTGGACTGAGTGTCTTGTTCTGCCCCCTCTCCCTTTGGAGGCTGCCTGAAAAAATACCTTGTCTCCACTTGTCACCCTTTCGTCAGCAACTTTCGCCATGTGACCCTTCTAGGGTCAGTGGGGCTGCCCAAGGCCAGAGCCCCTTCTCGTCACCATGGTCTTCTCTGTTTTCAGGCCTCGCCGACCCAGCCCCCACTGCTCCTCCCAGAGAGCCAGCTGCAAACAGCCAGTGGCCCCTGTTCCAGGTAGGGGCTTCACTAAAATGCTCAGCCAGTTTCACGGGCTTCCTCGTTCCCAGCTCGTTCTCTGCTGCGGTTGGCTGTGGTCTTGGCTGTCCTTACTCGCCCTGGCACTGCCCCAGGTGCGCTCGAGAACACGGATCCCACCCAACGGCAGGCCCGGGGCAGAGAGCTGCTAATCCAGTGGGGTCCTAGTAGGACCCCCAGGCAGGGGGGCCAGAGCTGGAGACCTGAAACCTCCCGACTGCAACAGCTCCTTCCTGCCCTTTGCTCACTCACACTTTCCCCTCCTAACAGAACGAGCAGTCGGACCTGGACTTCTGCAGCCCCAAGCCTGGGAGTGCTGCCTGCAGCCCCTCAGACGGGCCTCTTGTCCCGCCCTCAGCACCCTCTGCAGGCAGCTCCCAGGCCCCGCTGCCTTCTCCCTTCCCAGCTCCTGTGGTTCCAGCCAGTGTGCCTGCACCCAAAGCAGGCTCCTTCTTGTTCCCGACTGGACTGGCCCCAGCCCCAGCCCCAGCCCCAGCCCCAGCGACCGAGTCCACAGCCCTTGGGTACCATGGCTCGGCTTCGGGCGATAGCACCCTACCGCAGCTGGATGCCCTCGATCATCTTCTTGAAGAGACCAGAGTGTAATGAGTGGGAAATGGGAGGGTTGGGCCTGGGCTTGGCAGAACCGGAGGCAGATCCAGAGGGCCTGGGGTGTTCCTTTTTTGGTCTACTGATGTTAGACTCTGGAAACTGGGGTGGGGGTGGTAGTAAGAACCAGCCGTGCCCATGGAGTTCGTGTGAGGGGGGTTGGCCCAGCAGCATCCCCTGACCTCTGACTTACCTTGTCCTCCTTCCTGCCTCTCAGGACCTCAGGCCTCATGAAACCCGTCTCTTCCATCTTCTTCCCTGGGGCCACCACATCCCCTCTGATCCCCACCAGCACCACTGCTAGGCCTCTCCTCCCCTTCTCCCCAGGGCCTGGCAGCCCTCTCTTCCAGCCGCCTGCCTTCCAGTCCCAGGGCAGCCCCTTGAAGGGGCCAGAGCTCTCCCTGGCCAGTGTCCACGTCCCCCTGGAATCTATCAAACCTAGTAGGTGTGGGAAGCGTGGGGTGGGAGGGCGAGGCGGGGCCCGCCGCTTGCAGTGATAGGGGGAGGGAGAGGGGTGGGCGTGGGCCCAGGCTGTCCTTGCCCAGGTCCCTAGAGCCAGACGTGACCGGCTTTCCTGCTGCCTCGGCCTCTGCTAGTTGCCACTGTGCGGTCACGGGTGGTTCTGACAGATTCTTCCGCAGATCCTTTCGGGGAGCCTTCCGGCCACAGGGTCGCCCTGCCCTCCCCTCCGGGCTCTGTGGGGAGCCCTCCTTCCACACCCGCCTGGCCTCTTCCCGCAGGCGGCGCCCTCCCTGTGACGGCCTATGATAAAAACGGCTTCCGCATCCTCTTCCACTTTGCCAAGGAGTGTCCGCCTGGCCGGCCTGACGTGCTGGTGGTGGTGGTGTCCATGCTGAACACAGCTCCCTTGCCTATCAAGAGCATCGTGCTGCAGGCCGCAGTGCCAAAGGTACCCCTGGCTTCCCGAGGTCTCCAGAGGCAGAGGTTACCTCCTCCTGGACCCCACTGTGTTGAGGGACCCCGAGGCCAGCAGGCAGCAGCATGTGTCCATCATGATTGTAGTGCGGGCTTCTGTTCAGGGGCCCCTGCCATCTCTCTTCAAAGGAGCTTCTCTTTCTCTTCAGTCGATGAAGGTGAAGTTACAGCCACCCTCTGGGACAGAGCTGTCTCCATTTAGCCCCATCCAGCCACCCGCAGCCATCACCCAGGTCATGCTGCTGGCCAACCCGCTGAAGGTGAGCTAGCACCGGGCTCTGAAGTGAGGCCCCGGCTGCCCCCGATCAGGCCCCTTGGCCTCCCCGCTGGAGGTGCCGTGATACCGCAGCACTTGCAGTGTCCCTTCCCTGCTGGGGTTGAGTGGCTGAATGCAGACGGGGTGGTAGGAGTGGCACAGAGAGGGCCCCAAGGCCACATCTTAACACGCTGCCCCCTCCGTCACAGGAGAAGGCGAGGCTTCGGTATAGGCTGACCTTTGCCCTGGGAGAGCAGCTGAGCACAGAGGTGGGCGAGGTGGACCAGTTCCCTCCCGTGGAGCAGTGGGGTAACCTATGACCCCAGAGGACTCCATGTCACCACAGTGAAGCCCGGGCAGGCTGCCACGAGACAGGAGGGCTCCCTGGTCCAGTCATCCTCCACGTCCTGACTGCAGTGCTTGGAGCTTGGATATGGAACAGGGGCTATGGGCATCACTGCTGGGAGCTGAGCTCTGCTGTGATGCTCCCTTGGCCCCCTAAAAGGACCTGATTTTTGTCTACCTGTGTGACTTGACTTGAACTGGCCATGTACTGTCAGGGGTGCAGAGGGGCCCCAGACTCTGCACTATGGCCCTGGGAATATGGACCCAAGGCGGGAGCAGGCTTTTCCCCTCATGCTGGCATCCTGATGCCATAAGGGGCGGGGGGGGGGTGGTCTCTAAAGAGACTTGGGACTCTCCCTCAAGGACCACATCCTCACTCCCCTGGAGGCCTCAGCGCCCCCATCACTACTCTGTGCTTCCCCTGCTGGCAGGTTCCTGCTCCCACCTCCAGGGAGGTAGGCAAAGCCCGGTGCTCCTGAATGGCCCTGGGCACTGAGTAAGTTGGTGTACTGCTCAATCTCCCAACTCTGCCTTCCGTGGGCAGCAGCATCCTGGAATGGCCACTGGGTGATGAGTTATGTGCTTGTCTCTGGTGGTGGCAGGCTGTGTCCTATGGACATCTCAGCAGGATGGGGAACTAGCCTGTTTGTTAGAAACAGAACTTGGCCTTGTGGCAGTCAAAACTAGGGATACAAAAGAAAATGGAAGAGAACCATTATTTCTCCTTCTCTGGAAGCAGGTACTCATAGCTTTCTGGGGAAAGTGTGCCTCCTGCCTTGGGAACAGGCCATCCTACTCACTACCTCTTGCTTGGCATGAAATAAACTGCTCTTCTGCCCTTCGAGTCTCTGAAGGGGAGAACAACTCCCATCACCCTCTGCGTCCTCCTGCTTGGGCCTCCCCCTCTTCCCGCCAGATGGCCTGTGGTGTGGCATATGTTTGGGAACTGGAGGCCTCAGGGTCAGGCAGATTGCACTAGACTTCTCTCCTTACCTGCTGCCCAGGAACCTTGACTATCCCCAGCTGCCGAGGGGCATGGCCAGTGAGATACGGGGTCTGGAGGTGGTGAAATCAGGGGCCATGCCTGAATCGAGTCACCAGACCCTATTGCTTTGACAGTGCTCAGCTCCAAAAACCTTGTCCCAGTTGCATCCACCAGGTACAACTGGGCCAGGGACTGTGGGCCTCGCAGGGCACCAGGCAAGTGAGAATCACCAGCTGAGGAAAGAGCACACAACTCACCTCAGCTCAGCCGGATGGCACTGAGCCATCTCTGGGTAAAGGTGGCATAGGCCACACTCCCTAATCCCTCCCTGCACTTTGCCAGGTTTCCTTACTCTAGCCCTTCCCCCTCCATCTCGAGCAAGCAGGTTTCACTGCTTCATTAGGACGGGTCAAAAGTGACTCAGTTTCACTACTTAGGAAAGAAATCCAAGAGCTTTCCAGAGACTGGCTGCTTGCAGCCCTGGGAAGGTTTGTGGGATTACTATATGGAAATGCACCTTTATAAGAAGCTTTAGACATTAAAATTATCTGAGTGTTACTACTGAGGTCACTGCTTTGTGACAAATGGCTGTATACAGTATACCGACTCTGCTGCCCTTGTTTTGCTGCATGTTAAATAAAATCATTTCTGCCCTACTTGGAATCCTAATACAGACACCATCCACCCCACTATGGACAAAGTGCCACTTATGAATTCCAAATGTAGACAGATATCCTGGCATCACCTGAGGTTTTTGTTGATGAAAGTACAGGTTCCTGGACCTTTTCCTTTTCTAAAGGAAAAAACGGATGAATTTTCCAGTTGATTCTAAAGGCTAGATTTCAGAAGCATACATAAACCACAGACTGCTCTTGTTTGCGTTTCTAATAGGAAGGAGGGCACTGCACTCACCATCCTAACTTCTAGGAGCGGCTTTTTCTCTTGGGAGATAGGGAAATCAGTCCCATCCAAGGAAAACATAACAAGCACTTTCTCCATTTCTACCACCTCAAGTTCACAGGACAGGCAGGGAAAACTACCTGGACTCTAGGAACTTGCCTTCTATTAAGGGGGGAAAAATTTATTCTTTCAGAAATGTATATACATTGCCATACAAAGGTGCCACGTTGAAGCAGCTCTCAGCTGGTCTCAGGAGCCTTCCAATGAGCCTTCTTTAATAATGGCCCGGCCAAGATTTCGTGCAAGAGCAAGTCTCAGCATTTCCAACTTGGTGTTCTCGACATCCTCCTAAAAGCAAAGAGAGCCAGCATGACGTACAGCTGGAAGTGTTCCTTCTTTAAAGCTCTGCAAGGCTCTATGACCCAAAGGCAGACCGAGGGCATTTAACATTTAGTAGTAGCTTCCAGCAAGTTGATACGAGAACCGCATGCAAAAGCCCACTGCAACCAAGTGCCAGAAAAGTAGAGATCAGAACACCTAGAACCGCCCAGCTTTGCCCTAAAAAGTTGGGTGTGTCAATTACAGGTTAAGAAGTAACTCAAGAAGCCCAAGTTTGTAAGGGGCCAGTGTTTCTGGAGGGAAGCAGGGGAGTCCAAGATAGAAGAAGCCTTTTCTCATCGCCATTATGGAATCAACGATCTGAAAGCTAAAATAACCTGGAGTCGCTGAACACCAGGCTCTCTCCACACTGGCCTTCTTGAGGCGAAGTCCTCTAGACATCTCATCAGCTCATATGTTTGCTCTGCTGAAAAAACCACCTAGGAGAGAGAAGAGAGGCTGCTTTGCTTAGCTGCTGCCCAGCCAAGGGCTGCACTGGTTGGGGCATGCGCCCAGGTTCAGAGATGGCCTTCCGTGTGTGCCCTCTGGAGGAGTGGGCTCTGTATGTGCAACGCCGGGAGGACAGAGAGCCCCTATGCTCATTCCCAGCCCGTCTCGTCAGGGCCCTAGGCTGAATACTGTCAGCAGACAGCTGCCTCCTTTCAAATTAAATCGCTTTTCTTGTGTAGATACTGAGTTTCCAGAGTGGGCATTACGGGGGAATCCACACATCCGTGCAGGGCCCGACTGGGGAGAGGACTATGGATGTGCACCTCCACCAGCTACGGAATGAAGCACAGTCAGGGGCTACAGCACAGAGAAGAAAATCATTCTGAATCCAAACCGTACCTCTTTCTCTTCCAAAAGGGGCAGGGCGTCTATTAGTAGTATTACCCAGAAGGACCGTGGGGCAATCTGGGAAGTCATCAGTGACAGGAGAAGAGAAGCTGCATCAGTAAGACGCTTCTCCCCGTAAAATCGGTGGAACTCGCGGTATTTTCCTATTGAGAAACAGAGCACTAGGTCACCTCTGGCCCAAAACAAGACAAGAGAGACCCCAGACCAGCCACTCCAAAGCAGGGAGATTCTTCCAGAACTGTCTCCAAACTCAGGGACCAATGAGACCAACAGGATTGAAAAAAAAACACATTTTGAAGGGGCTCCAAAGAGCCAAACCTGGGAGAATGTAACCATCAAACCAAACAAGAGACCTGGACTGTAAGAGATTGAAGAACCCATAAGTCTTAATCTGATCATGAGGAAATAGGAGATAAACCCAAACTGAGGACATTCTATAAGAGAGCAAAACAGACTCTTAAACAATGTCAAGGTGAGGGGCGCCTGGGTGGCTCGGTCAGTTACACATCTGCCTTCGGCTCAGGTCATGGTCCCAGGGTCCTGAGATCAAGCCCCACATCGGGCTCTCTGCTCAGCGGGAAGCCTGCTTCTCCCTTTCCCGCTCCCCCTGCTTGTGCGCGCTCTCTGTCAAATAAAATCTTAAAAAGCACCAAGAGAGGCAGAGGCACTAAAGAGACAAGAAAACTGAATTTGTGAATGTGGACACGATAAAAGACACCACTGGGACAGCTGATGTAACCAGAACATGGACTGCAGATCTGATGAGAGCAGTACATTCGGAGGCTGGGTCTCTAAGATGATCTTCTTGTTCTTAGGAAACACATGCTCAAGTATTTATGAAGAAAGGGGAACAAAGTCTCCAACTTACTTTCAGATTTTTCCCCAAAACCCTGACAGAATAATAAACGAGGCAAAATAAAAATGGTAAATTTGGAGAAAGTGTACATGGGAGTTCCTTAGTCCTTATACTGCTTTTGCACCTTATCTCTTAAGTTTGAAATTACTGAGAATTGTTAGAAAATATGCTTTGCAGAGTCTGGCACACATGGTTCTAGGAGTTTGGGCTCAACAGGAGGGAACACTGGAGAAGCCTAGATCAGTCCGTCCCATCTGCACAACCCACCACTATGCCAAAGGTCCGGGGCCGAGAGCCCAGAGACTCACCCAAGAAGGTCAGTCGATCACTGAGCATCATGGCTGGCCCCAGGTTGTCAATGAGATCCAGATCAGAAAAGGAGCCTCGCTCACAATAATCCTTGAGGAACCTGCAAGGCCAGGCCCAGAGGTCTGAGCAAGGGTCCCAGGGCCCCTTCCTCAGCCTCCCAACTTCCTAGACAGTCCCCAGAAAGCCAGGAGTGGTTGAACCCACCTGTCTGACACCAGCGTGGCAAAAGCAGCATCTTTGGCTCGGATGCTCCAAGACAGCGCAGAGCCCAGGCGATTGTTGCGGACAGCTTTCATAGCTAAGATCTTACAAATGCTGCGAACTTGGCAGGGAAAAAGAGAAAAGACAAACTTTTCACTCTTCCAATCAGGCCATTTCTGAACTCTGCCAGATAGGAGCAGGCTCCCCACCTCCTCTGAGCTTTCTGCAGCCTCTCCACAAGGCTCCAAATACAACTTGGTTGGCAACACTGGGGACTTTGGGGTTTACAGATTGTCTCCTAGCTCTATTACACCAGGACCCACCCTGACAGGATTGGCTTTGTGACTGGGTTTGATTTCAGGGACGGCAAAAAGATTTTATTGCTCCCCACAGATCGGCTTCTTCATTATCTGTCCAGGTGCCAAAAAACATCCTTTGGGTCTTGAATTGCCCTATGCTTTCAGAGATAGTCATAAGCAAGCAACTGCCTCTGGAAAGAACTTAGGTTTTTATCACTCAACAGTAAAGGGAGAAGGGGCAAATATTACTGCTTTCTTTCTGTGCTCTTCCTGAGCTGCCCCTGGTCCTGCTTCCCCACTGAGCCAGCCTTAGCTAGCAACAGCAACCCACCTGGGAGAAGTAAATTCCAAGCTGACCCCAGTCCGGACCTTCTTAGAGTAAGTAGAAGAGAGGAAGTGGGTCAGGATCTTTTTAAAAGGCAGTGTGCTCCATTGCTTCTAAGTCCTGATGGATCCCTAGCTGTTTGTCCTTCCTCGATAATTTTCCTGTTTTGGCTTATCTCTTGGCACCCACTACCCGGCCTCTCTCCAGTCCAGCTGGCGCAGCATGGAGCAGAAAGTATGCCAAGGGGGAGGGCAGGCTCACCTTGCTCAGTCATCTGCCGCTGCTCACAAATCCGAAGCACCTTAAGGGCTTTCTGCTCAGTGCTCAGGGGGATCCGCTCAATGTGCAGCTCCAAAGAAACTCGGCCCAGCTCAGGGCAGTAGTCAAAGTAATCCACTCCCAGCTGCCACAGGCTGCAACCGTCCAAGGACAGACAGGAGAGCCTGGTGAGCCCATGTGCTGCCCTGCAGCCTGGGGACTGGTACCAAGATGGCTCCTCCCCTAGACCCCTGTAGCCTTCAGGGAACCAGACAAGCAAGAACATAATCCAAGATCCAGGGGTACGTGCATGCTGAAAAACACCGTGCTGCCACCTCACACTCTTGGGGCCTTCCTACCTGTGATGAGCAAACAGTCCCGAGGCATATTCCAACAGGAGGAACTCTCTCATGTTAGATCCGAAGCTGGAATAAAACATAACAGGAGACCAAAACCCCTGGCCTGCTCCATCCGGGGCCCTCCCGCAGCCCCACCCCTGACGGCTGGCATGGCTGCCACATACTTACTAGAGGTTGTGCGACTGGAGGAGCTTGCAGTGATCCAGCAGGTCTGTCAGATGGGCCACAAACCACCAGTTGCTTAGAGCAATGCTGTGGGTTCAAATGCCAGGGCAAGGAGGAGAGTCAGGGTGACAGTGTGGTCCATGTGAGCAGGGAATCTGCACATCCTTTGCATAAAAGGATGGGAGGGACAGTGACAAGTGAAAATCTGTCTGGAAGCACATGGTGAGAAGTTTCTCTGTGCTATGTGGGGACTGACAGTGGATACCCAGGATGCTCAACCCTCAAAGTGGCAGCCAATCATCTGAATCTCTGGAGAATGTCACAGTGAAAATAAAATTCAGGGATCCAATCAGATGCAGAAAATGTGGCTACAGAATAATGTATAAGAAAAAGAATAAAAAGAAACAGACTTATCAACACAAAGAACAAACTGGTGGTTGCCAGAGGGGAGGGAGGTGGGGGGATGGGATGAGAGTACTAATGAAGAGGTACAAACTTCCAGTTATAAAATGAGTAGGGGGCGCCTGGGTGGCTTAGTTGGTTAAACCGCTGCCTTCAGCTCAGGTCATGATCCCAGGGTCCTGGGACCGAGCCCCACATTGGGCTCCCTGCTCATGCAGGAAACCTGCTTCTCCCTCTGCCTGCCGCTCCCCCTGCTTGTGCTCTCTCCCTCTCTCTCTCTCTCTCTCGCTCTCTCTGTGTGTCAAATAAATAAATAAAATCTTTAAAATGAGTAGATCCTGGGGATGAAAAGTATAGCATAGGGAATATAGTCAATAATATAACTTTATGTGATAACACATGGTAACTGCACCGCTGGTGGTTAGCGTTTTGTAATGTACATAATTATCAAATGTTGGAAACCTGAAACTAACACATCAACACTACAGCAATTAAAAAAAGAAAAAGACTAAAAGACAGGTGGTTTCTGATGCTTGATGAAACATGGAATTCAGGGGCGCCTGGGTGGCTCAGTTAAGCGTCTTCCTTTGGCTCAGGTCACAATCCTGGGATCCTGGGATCAAGCCCCACGTTGGGCTCCCTCTCTCACTATCTCTCTCTCTCTCAAATACAATTAAAAACAAAAACAAAAAACATGGAATTCAGAGGAATATCTTTATTTGCATCTGGCTTCACTGCTGATGTTTCTCTGTTGTACAGCTTTTGATTAGTATACTTACTTTACGAATATGACTATATACATAGGACACTTAAAAACCATCTTTTGTTTAGGTTTCTATTAGTACTTTGTATAAAGAAATCTTTGTTAAATTACAAGATTTATAATATTATTGTATATATAATCTGACCACAATGAAGGTTAAGTCCTCTCCCAAACCGTATTTTTAACCAAAACCTAGAATCTGAAAAACAAAAACAAAACAAAACAAAAAACACCTAGAATCTGGAGCACCTGGGTGGCTCAGTCCGTTAAGCATCTACCTTTGGCTCAGGTCATGATCTCAGGGCCCTGGGATCAAGCCCCATGCAGGGCTCCCTGCTCTGCAGGGAGTCAGCTTCTCCCTCTCCCTCTGCCTGCCCCTCCCCCTGCTTGGGCTCTATGTCAAATGGATGAATAAAATCTTAAAAACAAAACAAAACATGCGACGCCTGGGTGGCTCAGTTGGTTAAGCAACTGCCTTTGGCTCAGGTCATGATTCCGGGATTGGGCCACGCATCGGGCTCCCTCTCCCTCTCCCTCTGCTGCTCCCCCTGCCTGTACTCTCTCTCTGTCAAATAAATAAAATCTTAAAAAACAAAAATCTTCTGGGGCCCTTGTTAAAAAAAAATGAAGTAGAGTTTCTAGGGCCCTTAGTGTCTAATGCCTTGGAAATCACTATTTTACATCATCAGCTGTATGTAAGCTCCCTAGCACCGTTTTGTACAAAGTATACCAATGCACTTGTCAGTGTGCATACATCATTTCCGGTTATATTATCCATTCGTTACTTGGCATAAGCCTGTTTGTATATAATGCTTGACTATTTTTTTAAAGATTTATTTATTTTAGAGAGAGAGCTAGAGCATGAGAATACAGAGTGGGGAGGGCAGGGCAAGAGGGAGAAAATCTCAAGCAGACTCCCTGCTGAGCACAGAGCCCAATGTGGGGCTTGATCTCACAACCCTGAAATCACAGCCTGAGCTGAAACCAAGAGTCAGACACCTAACTGACTGTGCCACCCAGGTGCCCCAATATTTGACTATTTTTTTAAATCTTGGGTTAAGGGAAATTTTAATGATTGCTTTCTGTAACAAAATCAAGCACAAATAAAGTAGAAGACGACTTGTCAAGGCAGGCAGTTTTGAGGTGTAGTTGTGCATTAAGGTAAGAAATTCTGCTTTCGGGGCGCCTGGGTGGCTCAGTGGTTGGGCGTCTGCCTTCGGCTCAGGTCATGATCCCAGGGTCCTGGGATCGAGCCGCGCATCGGGCTCCCTGCTCGGCGGGAAGCCTGCTTCTCCTTCTCCCATTCTCCCTGCTTGTGTTCCTTGCTCTCACTCTCTCTCTGTCAAATAAATAAATAAAATATTAAAAAAAAAAAATTCTGCTTTCATGATATAAAAAGAACAGGGATTGGTTTACACTGAATTACTGGACAAATGTTTAAAACTTCTGCCTTGGGGCACCTAGGTGGCTCAGTCATTAGGCGTCTGCCTTTGGCTCAGGTCAGGATCCCAGGGTCCTGGGATCGAGCCCCACATCGGGCTCCCTGCTCAGCGCGGAGCCTGCTTCTCCCTCTCCCACTCCCCCTGCTTGTGTTCCCTCTCACTGTGTCTCTGTCAAATAAATAAAATCTTAAAAAAAATTTTTTTCTAATTTAATAAAACTTCTGCCTTGTTCTTAGGGCTATGGATCCTCAGATACTCCATCTGTTCCAGGATTCCACCATTAGGGAATGACCTTGTTGGCCTAACATTCACTTTCAAGATTAGCTTTTTCAAACCTTTTTTTTTAAAGATTTTATTTATTTATTTGACAGAGAGAGACACAGCGAGAGAGGGAACACAAGCAGGGGGAGCGGGAGAGGGAGAAGCAGGCTTCCCACTGAGCAGGGAGCCCAATGCGGGGCTCGATCCCAGGACCCTGGGATCACGACCCGAGCCGAAGGCAGACGCCCAACGACTGAGCCACCCAGGTGCCCCTTTTTCAAAATATTAATAACTGTGTATATCTATGACATTCAAAAAATTATGTATGCTGGGGCGCCTGTCTGGCTCAATTGGTAGAGCATGTGACTCTATCTCAGAGCCATGAGTTCAAGCCCCATATTAGGCACAGAGATTACTTAAAAGAACATTGGGGCACCTGGGTGGCTCAGTCGGTTAGGTGTCTGACTCTTGATTTCAGCTCAGGTCATGATCTTAGGGTCCTGGGATTGAGCCCAGAGTCGGGCTCCCTGCACAGTGGGGAGTCTGCCACTCCCCCTGCTTGTGTTCTCTCTCTCGCTCACTCTGTCTCTCAAACAACTAATCTTTAAAAATAAAAAAATAAATTATCTCTGCCGATTTTCAAAAACACCTGTATTTCTACAATCATCCTCGAATACTAAGAGTTCTGTAAATTCATTATGTGCTACACAAAGTCAATCATGCTCAAGTTTTTATTTTAACGTTTATTTATTTATTTGACAGAAAGACAGTGAGAGGGAACACAAGCAGGGGGAGTGGGAGAGAGAGAAGCAGGCTTCCCACAGAGCAGGGAGCCTGATGTGGGGCTTGATCCCAGGACCCTGGGATCACGACCCGAGCCGAAGGCAGACCCCCAATGACCGAGCCACCCAGGCACCCCTCAGGTTTTTAAAGATACTTCATTGTTCCAGGTTTTCCTTTAGCTATGGCTTTCCTAATTTTGCAATTCTACTGTGTTACTTCCTGACCTTAGTCCCTATAAATAGGATATCTCTTTATGGGAGCCCCCTAAACAAACCCCAACTCACTGGATACTGTTGTTGCTCTTAATTATTCTAATTTCATCATAGGTCTTTGTGTATCAGTAATTAGATGGAATACTGTCATTTGGTTACCTAGACAGTGTTTTGTTTTGTTTTAAAGATTCTTTTTGAGGGGCGCCTGGGTGGCTCCGTCGGTTAAGCGTCAGCCTTCGGCTGTCATGATCCCAGGGTCCTGGGATCGAGTCCCACATCGGGCTCCCTGCTCACTGGGGAACCTGCTTCTCCCTCTCCTCCCTACTCGTGTGCTCTCTCTCGCTATCACTGTCTCTCTCTCAAATAAATAAAAATCTTAAAAAAAAAAAAGATTTTGAGAGAGTGAGCGCAAGCGGGGGTAAGGGTAGAGGGAGAGGGAGAAGCCGACTCCCCACTGAGCAGGGAGCCTGATGTGGGGCTCAATCCCAGGGTCCTGGGATCATGACCAACTAGACAGTGGTTTAACAAAAAAGGTACCACAGGGCGCCTGGGTGGCTCAGTCGGTTGAGCGTCTGCCTTCGGCTCAGGTCATGATCCTGGAGTCCCGGGATCGAGTCCCGCACCGGGCTCCCTGCTCAGCGGGGAGTCTGCTTCTCCCTCTGACCCTCCTCCCTCTCGTGCTCTCTGTCTCTCATTCTCTCTCTCTCAAATAAATAAAATCTTTAAAAAACAAAAACAAAAAAGGTACCACAAATGGTCCTTGAGACCACAGCTTCAGTCCGTCCCTACCTCTCTATCCCCTTCATCTGGAAAATGTAAGTAATTTTATCTTTTGCCTACCTGGACTGTTTTATTATTTATTTATTTATTTATTAAGATTTTATTCATCCATTTGGCACAGAGAGAGCGCAAACAAGCAGGCAGAGCGGCAGGCAGAGGGAGAGAGAGGGGCAGGCTACGTGCTGAGCAGACAAAGCCCAACATGGGGCTCGATCCCAGGCGCTGAGCCACCCAGGCGCTGCTGGACTATTTTAAAAAGAAAATGAGAAAATGGATATAAAATTGCTTTAAAAAGACTCCTTTAGGGGCGCCTGGGTGGCTCAGTGGTTAAGCGTCTGCCTTCAGCTCAGGTCATGATCCCGGGTCCTGGGATCGAGCCCACATCGGACTCCCTACACAGAGGGGAGTCTGCTCCTCCCTCTGCCACTGACCCTCCCAGCTCGT